AAGATAAAATAGATACAATGAAATTAGAAAAAAATTTAGTATCTTTTAAAAAGCCCCATTTGCCTCTATTTTCCTAGTTACACAAAGGAGGCAAAGTGTGAAAAAGAATAGACCATATTCTTCTAAGGACCTATGTCAGGTGTCAGAAGAATGGAGGTGATGCAGGAGGGTGGGAATGGATGCCCAATGTTGCTAAAGCTGTGGGGTGTCTTCTCTTTTCATTTTTTAAAATCCAGAAATGTAGATATGTTCATTCATCCATTCACTGATGTAAAACCTGGTTTCTGAGGTGTTCAGCTTGCTGACTGATCTATGTATATGTCACCATCACAATCACACTCACTCACATTTCCATCACCTCGCAGAGCTGCCCTCTTTTGTGTGTGTGATGAGAACACATGAGATCTACCCTCTTAGCATGTGTCAAGTATACATCGCAGTGTTGTTAGCTATAGTCACAGTGTTGTACAGTGGATCTCCAGAACTTACTCATCTTGCATAACTGAAATTTTGTATCCTTTGACCAACATCTCCCCGTCTCTCCTTCTCCCAGCCCCTGGCAACCACTATATACCCAGTAATCCCCTTTCTGGGGATATAGTCAAAGGAAATAAAATCAATATCTGAAACAGGTATCTGAACTGTCATGTTCATTTTGGCATTTTTTACAATAGCCAGATAATGGAACAATCTAAATGTCTGCCAATGGATAAATGAATAAAGAAACTGTGACATATATATATGTATATACACACACACATATATACACACACACGCATACACACACACGTATAGGTATATGTATATACATACATATATGGCAGAATATTATTTAGCCCTAACAAGGAAATCCTGCCATTTTTGACCACATGGATGAACCTGGAGAACATGCTTGGTGAAATAAGCCAAGCACAGAAAGACAAATAGCACATGATCTCGCTTATACGACGGCACTGTGTTCATGTCTCAGCCACATCTACCACATCCACCCATGCAAACACAGCCACTGTCTCAATTCCCGCTCCTGACTGGGGTACAGGTGGGTGCTCTGTGAACACGTGTTCTACTCCTGGCCCAGCTTCCTCATCTGCAGCTATTTCAGGCTATCACACTGGAAATGAAATTCTTATCAAGACTGGGCCAAGACCGAGGTTGTGTGGAACTAGGGTGCCCTCTACTGTCTTCCACAACGATCACGTCATTGCTTAATTTCATTCAATAAAGAGAAAATGCTAATGGAACAAATGGGAATTCAACGGATAGCCCATTATTTCTCAGCACAAATACAGAATTCCATAGTAAAACAAAAATCATTGAAATGGTAGTAAGTACTCTTGTAGCAATGTGAGTTTCTATAAGGTTCTGATAGGCCTTACGATTTCACTGTCCCCTCAGGGCAGTCCATCTAAAGTGAGGCTATGTTATGTTACATAAACACTAGGAGGAGAGAGAGTGGCATAACATTTCATTACAGGGAAGAGAAAAGAATGTAAGCAACATGCTGAAATACAATGTTAAAGAATGACTCTAGCTTAAGATGATTTTTGTATATTCAATAATATGTGTTGTGTGGACATAAAGCTGATAGAAAGTATACCCAAAAAATGGAAGTTTTAAACATAATCCATCAAAAGAACATATTTACTTACAGCTGACATTTCTTTTAATGTTAAGAATTAATGTCTGTAACCTCACTAATACAAAAGTCATCCCTTGTTTATATACATTTATTTTTGCAAACTCACACTGAACGACTTTGTGTGACAAACTGTGAAGTTTTAAATTGACCAATTCTTCCAACTCTTTGATTTGCATTATGCTGTTTAATCCTGAGAGAAAAGCAGCTGTCGCTGGTATTAGGTGTTAGAATTCCAACACCTAATAGGTGAAAATTATATTAGGCTGATCATAAAACCATGTTGTTAACTTTCTAAAATTTAATGTCTACCAAGGAATTTCACCCTAGTGGTACATCTTTTGAGAAATTAGAAAACGAAGAAATGCATGCGTTCAATGGTCCATTTCAGCATTAGAAAATTCAAATTAGCATCTTATTTCATTCATATTTCCTGAAGAACCACTGGAAACAGTTATTTAATAGTGTGGCTAAATGTATAGTCAGAGAAACACTTCCTGTATATTTGCACATTTATGTATATTTATGTCCTATTCCTGGAATAGATTTACAAGTTCTGTTTTTCAGAAAATTTCAGAGTTTCTGGAATGTGCAGAAGTATTAGTAGGTAACTTAGATTTGGAATACACTGTATTAGAGATAATTGGAAAAATGAAAGGCTTCCTACACTGGAAGGTCAAAGATCTTTCCCGGAGGGGAGCTAAGAATTTGCCTTTACATACCATTATTCTGTTAAAAGAGACCATGAACAACGCAGTTTCACGAAAGGAATGGGAGAATGGTGGAAGTAAACCTCCCCATCACGTTCTCAGTGGCTTTCCTTTAAGTCTTGAACGTTTTCCACTGGGTGTTACAGTCGAGAGTCCCCCAACTCCTGAGGAAACAAGAGCCCGCAACCCCTGGACGATGCGCTCTTGCTTGTGTTGTTTGAAGGGTCCCTGCTGCCCCGCAGTTGTTATTAATGCCACCCTCACCTCCCAGGGACTGCACCACTAGGACCAACGACACACCGACGGAATGACCATAGTAAGACCCCATGTAGGTGGCTAACGAGACAGTGACGCCATGTGGCTTGGAAGCCCTGCTGGGAAGATCCCGCCCCGTCACCCCAGACGCGCTCTCCGACCTGCACCCCCAGGGCCCTTTCCCGTTGCCACTGCGGCTTGTTGTCAAGAAACAGAACTTCAGAAAAACCCCCAGATAAACACTGCATTAGGTGAGGATTTCGTTCTAATCCAGTCCAGTGTGACCCTGGCTGTCCCTCCCTTAGCAATGCATACCTGTCTATGAGGGAGATGGAAAGAATGTCCAAGGCCAGTTTCTTTCAGAAGCGCCTAGAGATGCGCATGTACAGGGGTGTCATGGAGCACCCGGGAAGGACCAGGCCTGGGCAGGGAGGCGCTGGGGCCGACTCTAGGGAGCAAAGCTCTCCAAGTCCCGACCTCCGTCACCCGACTGCTGACCCTGCCCTCCCATCCCTGCTGCACAAGGGAGCAGTGGTGACTACTCGAGGCGCTGAAGACACTGTTGAGGGCCCTGAAGAAACTTCAGCAGGGCAGGGCCTCTCCCCTTGCAGGCCGAGCGCGGGCCCTGCGCCCTCCCCCTCCGCCGAGCCC